AGAACTTCGTTGCCGTTGTTGTCAATCAGTGAAATTGGGGTGCTCCTGAAATTACATCTTTACAAATTTTTATTGGCAGTCGGTAGTATTTTATATATTTTTCAAACTATAATAATCACCCGAAATGCAAAGATGATAATTACGTCACCTTGACAAGTTAGAAAGACATCCTCAGAATGTCTACAGTTGTGAGTCTCTGTGTAGGAACAGCTATCCCATTCTCCACTGCTATCACAGTTCACATTGTCCAACTCTATCTCGTAGTTATCCTGTATTGTCCACTCGGTGTCCGAGTTCCAAGATATCTGCAGTCCAAACCCCATCTTTCGACAGATGGCATTCCCGGAATATTCGTTGAAAGAGTCGTCGCATACCGTTCCGCCTTTCCAGAGCAGAAGTCCTTCGGCTTGTGTTGTTATTGGCTGTCCATCTCTGTCCACCAATGTAAATTCGGCTATCAAGACTGAAAATAACTACTGATAGATTGATTTGGAATTGTATATCACTACATACCTCAAACGACTAGTTCCGATAAACTAGCATCCTTTCTGATAGTAATTCTGTTGTTTCCTTATTAGTAAGTTCCTTCGCTAAAATGTTTTTATTAAGTCAACCAAATTTTCGTGCGTCTTACGAAAAGATTTGTTGTTCATTGCGAGGCATAGGTAGTAACGTTCTGTGGTTATCAACAGCTACCATATCGTTAAAAAGTTGTAAGTTATAAAATATTCGAGATCGGAGATTTATTAGCAATTAACATGTTACCTTATTCCGTACACTTTAATTCAGACTTGCAGTTAAAACAGCAAACGGGAGAGTAACTAACAAGTACAGAAAATATTTAAACACCCGTTTATTATTTCGTTCATTGCCGTTCAAATTGTTACCAATCAGTTCAATTCATATTATGTAATGTGTTGCCGAAGGTTGACGTAAAACAACTGCAATGACAGGATCAGTTCATTCCGTCAACAACTAAAATAACAAAGTACGTAACATAATATACTAAGTCCTTCTTAATGGAATGTGTTGGCATAGTACCTGCCTTATGAAGTCAAGTTAATAGATCCACGTCACGAAAATGATATTTTGTCATGGTAATGAGTAGTGAATAATTTAAACCAATCATCCCTAAAAAGATGATATTATGTCATAGCAATACTAGCATGCACTACTTTAAATTTCTTTACCCAATATTGTGCTTCTAACTTATTAAAATGGTTACATGATTACATTGAACGCTTGAGTGTGATGGTATATTATATACTATTAAATAGTATTAGATTGTTACGTCATGATGTTAAAACAGTTGTTCATTGCATTATAATTGATTAATCACAATGCTGGCAAGCATTACCGTCGCCCTTATATTCACAATACTATTTACCCCCTATACTATTATATCCCCTTTATTGATTTCCAGGCATTAAGACTCATCGAAAGTAGATCAGCAGGTACATTTAAGTTCAAAACATTCTAATTCAATGTTAAAGATGACAGGAATAAGAAATAGTTATATGGAGGTTTTTAAGAAATTTGCGCAAAATACGCGCCAGCATGTTATACGAAATTAGGTAAAAAACCCAAAATCGCCATATTCAGGTGCCTTAAAAACCATGTTAAAATTGAGTTAGAGATCTGAAACTTTGCAGGGCGTCTAGACCTTGTCCAAATCGACTGTAAAAAAAATTTCATGTTTCAGGAGTATCGTGAAGTGGGTTTTCTGGAACCCCTGTTTTACAACAGATTGTCGTGAAGATATATATATATATAATATAGACGCTTTTTGCAGTCAATTGTAGCCTACATTTAAGTGTCCGTAGATTCGAAAGTATAAACGATACAGTCATCTCGAACCACAGGTTTTAAAGATAATCGTTTAAGCTTTAGTTTACATTGTATTGAAAAATAATTTAACGTCATCATCATCACTTGATGACGTCATCAAATTAAGTGTTTTAAAAACTTGATTTTTGACAAAGTAACAACTTTTCAAATCGATTTTACGCTATTAAGGAGTAATTTTATTCAAAATCTGAGGACATTTTTACCTTAGATAATTGTTCAAGCATTCCGAAAATCTACCGGAATAGTTTCCTACCTTGCTCCTTCATAAAGATATTTGCTATTGAAGTTAGTGCTTTTTTGAAGAATAATTTTATAAAAACACAAAAGTTGTGAATTAGTATTCTCTGGTGTTGGGTCATCCCTTGGGTTGTGGAGCTCAATTTTGCTTCTTAAAGGTGTAAATTGTGTTATAGGCTAGTTTTAAAGTTAAAAATCGAAAAGTTGCACACGTGGGGACACGCCCAAATTTATTTAAAATAGCTAAAATCACTAAAAATTTTGATTTTCACGATTTTTATCAACTTTGGAGTCCCGTTGTGATCCAAGTTCTTTTTGAAATCTTCTGAAACTTTGCATGCTTATCAAACTATATATTAAATACCACTATGCAAAAATTTACGGTGATTCAATATTGTATGCGCACGCAACGTCCGCTCAAAGTTTGCACGTGCGAAAGGTGAGAATTTTGCTCATTCGTGATTTCGAATATATTCTGCTTTCCACGATATTTAAATGGCATTATATATGAATTTAATGCCAACTTGAATGAGTAAAAAGTGCCATATTCAGTCGGTTATCGACAGATATACCTAACTAAACACAAGGAAACGTTTTCAAAGGCAGAATTTCGAAATCGTCGGAATTACCTCCTTGTTAATGAAGTTTCGATTGTGTAAATTATCCTGACATTATAATCAAAAAGAGATGATATTTGACCAAAACCCATAATCATGGGTAGAGTGTACCGCTGCCAGTGTCTCTCTTTTCCAAACAAAAGGAAATGATATTAATTTGAGGAACCGTCCGCTAATGCAAATTGATACCGAGAATGAAATCGGTCGCTCGCTTTTCCCATTTAATAAGCTTTATTACAATTCGTAAGCCGTGAATGAATGGGAAAAGCGAGCGACCGATTTCATTCTCGGTATCAATTTGCATTAGCGGACGGTTCCTCAAATTAATATCATTTCCTTTTGTTTGGAAAAGAGAGACACTGGCAGCGGTACACTCTACCCATGATTATGGGTTTTGGTCAAATTTAAATAACCGCAAAATGTAGATCAAATATAACAAAGATACATTTTTTAAATGTTAACAATTTAATAAATGTAAAAAATGTATTATCTCTTACCCGACATGAGGAATACCAATAATAGGGCAGAGAGCAAACGAATCATAGTGCGGGTTATACAAATATTTCAACAAAGCGAAAATGTATCTAATTTAATGTGATCAAATCGTAGACTTATGTGATTGCAGAAGATGGTGAAAATGTCCCTCTGAGTAGGTATGGAAGTTCTTGTGATTGTGAAATCATAGGTGTCGAATTTGAACCCGTCCAGAGTGAAAATGTGTTATTAGTGTATTTAATCATCACATTATGCAGTAAAGATTACAGTAGGAGCTGGTACAAACTTGAATTTGAGATTATTTTGACCAAATAATTCCTGAAAAACCTGTGCTATTCTTTTCTGAGATGACCCAGCACAACTATTAAGTATAATTAACTGAGCTACTATATCTTAAACTTGAAGAAATTCCCCCAGCAACGACTTGAAACCACAGAGAATTGACTAGTGACCTTTCTCATGTTCTGATTTTGGCTCGAAAGTTGACCGGGAAATTCGAAATTTTAGGTAAGGTTGTACAGAAAAGGATGTGCATATTATATAATATTATTAATATTAAAAATGTAACATCAATGACTGATTCATATAACTCCCTCTAACAAAGAAGGTAAGTAAAATAATAAATTAACTTAAATTTGGAATTTAAAGTATTTTATTTTTCATAATACAAGCGGGATGTAAAAGCGATATTTCATTTCATGATGAACTCATTTCTGCTGGTGTGTGTTGAGTTTTACAAACAAATTCAAACGGAGGATACGATATATTATCTTAATAAATACCTGAATGATAAGGCGAATCGGTTCGCCACTACGGCTTGTGATGGTGAAACTGGGGAGGTATCTGAAATCATTGTTTATGTCACTGGTTGGTTTAGGATGGAATGTTGCTGCTACATTGAATTTACACTTATACCGTGTATTTGGACGTCGTGTTCTCTTTTATTGAAGAGTAGCTTTGTTTTAGCCATCTTCAAGATGGTTGTAGTTTTACAGCAAGACTATTAGTTTCATTATATATTTGCTCTCAAAACACGTTGAATGCTGGTTAACATTATATTTATTATCCTCCTCGATCACCGCATCACTATTATAATTATAGTATTATAGGACTAGCAAAGACAATATCCCACAAACAGTAGCACTAACCAATACCATATTACACTAATAATAATATATTTCTAGATGGTATTTTAGCAGAAGCTGGGAGTGTTGTGATATACAAAATGATAAATTAAATGTACATATGTGGGACAGGGAGAGACACGGTCAAATGAGGTCACGTGAATAGAGTTTACCGGAAGATAAACTTCACTAATATTCCGTGCGAAGAATTTATTATGATCTTGTTAAACTTGTAAAACGGTTAAAGTTCTTGTAATGTACGGCACTGACAATTATTTTTAGATTGCTCGTTAACATTAATTTTAAATATGGCGCCCTTGGCTGCAACATTTTAGGACTAACCTTGCCCAGTAAAACTCAAGTTGCTTCCTTAGTCCACATACACCAAGGCCAAGTCTTGAAAAAATAATAAACATGATGTGATAATTCCTAGCCCTCAAGCCCTGTCCTTATAACTCCGATCTCAGCCCTAACCCAGGATCCATAAAATAACATAATATAAGGATGTTAAACTGCAGGCCATCTTCATGATTTTTTGTCAGGTATTGGAGGTGTTTATATTTAACTTTGTTCTAAAGTTCTATTATCGTTTAATTATTTTGACAAATTTCGTAACCCACTGATATAATTTAATCCTTAGTTCGTTGAATGGTTGGTTGATCACCACAAATTTCAGGCCATGCCTGACGTACTTTTGTTGGTAGCACTTGTCTTCGTAACCCTCCTAGACCATGTCGATTGTAAACAACCCAATATAGTGGTAATAGTAGCAGATGACTTGGGATACAACGATGTAGGATTCAGAGGATCTATTGCAATGACTCCAAATATTGATAGACTTGCTAACAAGAGTGTGATTCTGGAGAATCACATCGTAGCTGCTAGCTGCTCTCCTACTCGATCTGCTCTTATGACTGGTCGGTATCCAATCCGAACAGGATTCTGGAAGGGAAATATCAAACCAATGGAGGAGTTTGGATTGGGATTGGACGAGACCTTGCTCCCTGAGATGCTGAAAACAAACGGATACTCGACACACGGCGTAGGAAAATGGCATCTTGGTATGCATACTTGGGAACACACACCCGTAAAGAGAGGTTTCGATACCTGGTTTGGTTCGTACAACAGTGAACAGGACTATTTCAAACATACAATGGCAAACCTGACAGACTTTAGGGAAAACTATTACGATGAGAATAGTAATTTAGTTGACGACGTACGGAATGATCTAACGGGACAGTATAACACATATCTGTTCACTGACAAGTCAGTTGAGCTTATCCAAAACCACAACCAAAGCAACCCCTTCTTTCTTTATTTAGCATACACTGCACCTCATGTTCCCCACCAAGCTTCTAAGGAAGATGTAGAAAGATTTGCCTCACACATTCCTAAAAATACTCGTCAAAGAGAAGAGAGACAAATATATACGACTCAGATATCTGTGATGGATGAAGGGATAGGAAAAGTAATTGACACTCTACGTCTGAAAGGAATGATGGACAACACTGTTTTGTTATTCACTTCAGACAATGGAGCACATGATTTCGGAAGCAACTATCCTCTGAGAGGAGGTAAGAGATCTTATCTGGAAGGAGGCGTCAGAGCAGTATCCTTTGTTCACAGCCCACTCCTTGAAAAGTCTGGTTACACCAACACCAACTTACACCATGTGACTGATTGGTATGCTTCATTTCAGAAACTAGCGGGAGACAACCCAGAGAAGCACAGTAAACCACAGTTACCAATAGACGGAGTTGACATCTGGAGATCTATCAATAATAACGAATCTTGCCGCGATGAGATTCTTTATGAATTAAGGGATCCTTCTAAAAGGCTGGACTCGGAAGGCAGAAATGGACTTGACAATGCCAAAAAATATCCAATCAACCTCAAAACATTTGAAGCAAAATTCCGCAAAGCAAAACATAAATTTTCTTCAGCGCAAGACTTTTTCGTTATTCGATGGAAGAATTGGAAGCTTCTTGTCGGCACAGGAGTAATATTCCAAGGTTGGACTTCAGAAAGTGGCCAGAGACACGAATACAAACAATTCTTAAGTTACGGAGGAAAAATGCATATATGGAGAATAGTGTCTGGAACATTCCTTTTTGATCTGTCCTCAGATGTTAGAGAGGAACACAATGTAGCTAATAAATATCCAGATATGGTGATGAAATTGCTCGATAAAAAACAAGGATATTTGAACAAGATGAAGACGGTTGAAGAACGGAATTTTTCAAATAAAGGAAAGGTTGATGGAGTTTGGAAACCCTGGGTAGAACTATAAAATGGTTCAATGTGAAGATGTTAAACAATGATATTTTTGCAATACGGTATAGTTATTACACCGATAAAATAAAGAATTTTAATTTGTATTTTGATGGCTATCTGGAATTATTCCGTGAAAGAAAATTGCACGACCGTAATTATTATTTTTCATAATTTCAATATTCCCTTAAGTTGAATTCAAATTGAAAAACTCTTAAATTGCTAAAATGTCACCTCAAAAACTACAGGTAGCAAAATCATAACATATTCAGACTTTAAAGAATCGAAATTAGAAATTAGAAATTAGAAATTAGAAATTAGAAATTAGAAATTAGAAATTAGAAATTAGAAATTAGAAATTAGAAATTAGAAATTAGAAATTAGAAATTAGAAATTAGAAATTAGAAATTAGAAATTAGAAATTAGAAATTAGAAATTAGAAATTAGAAATTAGAAATTAGAAATTAGAAATTAGAAATTAGAAATTAGAAATTAGAAATTAGAAATTAGAAATTAGAAATTAGAAATTAGAAATTAGAAATTAGAAATTAGAAATTAGAAATTAGAAATTAGAAATTAGAAATTAGAAATTAGAAATTGGAAATTAGAAATTAGAAATTAGAAATTGGAAATTAGAAATTAGAAATTAGAAATTAGAAATTGGAAATTAGAAATTGGAAATTAGAAATTGGAAATGGGAAATTGGAAATGGAAAATTAGAAATTAGAAATTAGAAATGAGAAATTGGAAATGGAAAATTAGAAATTAGAAATTAGAAATTAGAAATTAGAAATTGGAAATTAGAAATTAGAAATTAGAAATTCGAAATTTCATCCAGCTGGTTTTATTGCTGATTAGAATCATGATTTTACCATACCTTAAACATTGGAAATGTAATAACAAATATGACTTATTTACAGTTTACTAGGTTTACCAGTGCATCCTTCCATAAATATAATAAGGAGTTCAATTCCCAAAGCAAGGCAGTGAAAATAAATTAAGAAATGGAATGTCATCAAGGGGCAGCTGTTGATGGACCACGTACATCAGATAATTAACCGTCGATAATTAGAATCACTATCAGCAGGAAAGTTTAACCGAGAAATCATAAATACAACTGTTTATATCTTTATATTGCTGGGACCACTCATTAGGTATGTTGAGAATAGAGATCATTGGGGATGATAGGCATGTTATATTCAGTACGTACCTATACGGATGATGATTAATCACTCTACACTCGACTGTCTCGTGACTTTTTCAACCCATTCTCTAGCTGGTCCTGAACGACTATTCGAAACCCTAACCCTCTAATCTGATCCCAACCCTAACCCTAACCCAATCCTTAACAAAAGCATATGCTGAAACCCTAACCCTAACTAGATATTAGACTAACTTCCTTATACGGTCATATCACGTGATCGAAACAGTTTTTCGACAATATCTCGTCAGGGGAGCATTTTAACCCTTATATGTCATGGGGGTGATTCGGAATCAGCGTCCGAAAATACATCGATTGAAGGGGCCCTTTTAGTCTTAGAACAATATCAAAGATCGACTGTAGAGTGATTTAGCACGCGCTCGTACCTATACACAACTAAAGGCCCCTTCCAGCCATTGCCACTGCGAATTTAACCTAAAACCTGCCCAGTTAATAGCGAAGACTGCGAAATTACCACTCCTGCCTAGTAATCTAATTTACCCTGTCCAGATCAGCAGTATATTACACTAAATCCGCAGGTTTTCTCTTAATTTTTTATGTCAAAACCTGCCTAATTAACTAGTGATCCTGCATCAACAGCGCAGGTATTTGTTATTTGGCAGGTTTTCTATTAACTTGGCAGGATTTGCTATAAAATTATCAATCCTTTCCGGATGGATTACGGCAGTGATAAAGTTAAATCGGCAGGTTTTCCATTAACTTGGCAGGATTTTTTATAAAATTATCAATCCTTGCCGGATAGATTACGGCAGTGATAAAGTTAAATCGGCAGGTTTTCCATTAACTTTGCAGGATTTGTTATAAAATTATCAATCCATGCCAAATAGATTATAATGCTATAATCTTATTATGGCAGCGTTAAATTTATAAATTGGCAGGTTTCTTTTATCTTTCTTTTAAGTTCTTAAGTTATTTGGAATTTTGCTTATTTGGCACCAAAACTAAAAGTCAATAAAACCGAGTTGATTAGCGCAGTCAAGAAATTGGCCGGAGTTGATAAAAAGCTGACAACCATGGCACTGAATCTCCAAATGAGAGGTATAGTACGCTATATACTTATATAGTACGGTACCGCAACAATTGACCCCCTCCCCCCCCCCCCCCCCCCCCCCCCCCCCCCCCCCCCCCCCCCCCCCCCCCCCCCCCTCCGACAAATGACCACCTGATGCAATCTACCCCCGACAATTGACCCCCCATGTAATTACACTGGGGTCAATTCAGGGTTAGGGTAAGGGTTAGGGTCAGGGTTAGGGTCCCGGTCAGGGTCAGGGTTAGGGTCAGGGTCAGGGTTAGGGTCAGGGTTAGGGTCAGGGTTAGGGTCAGGGTTAGGGTCAGGGTTAGGGTCAGGGTTAGGGTCAGGGTTAGGGTTAGGGTTAGGGTCAGGGTCAGGGTTAGGGTTAGGGTTAGGGTTAGGGTCAGGGTCAGGGTTAGGGTCAGGGTTAGGGTTACTGGGTAACACGACTCCTGTCAGCGACATCTGTCCGACAGCGACATCTGTCCGACTCAGGGTACCAGAAAAAACGACATTTGTCCGAAATTGTGATCTGATTTCAATACAACACATTTCCAATTAGAGACGTGATCTGAACTGTTAATTTGAATACGTAACATTGCCAATTTGAGATATGATCTGAGCCATAGTGTACTACTAGTTTATTTTCGACCTAGGCAGGCAGGCATGAAGCAACTGCGTTGTGAATGGCGAGCTCGTAGTCCATGAGAATGTATTGTGGTTGGTAGCCCCAAGGCCTCAGAAGCCCAGGTGTCTATCTCCTCGAACATGTTGCGGTAGAGGGTCGTCGATTTTCCAGGAATGAGTCCTTAGAAGAGGGGGAGGTGCCAGCCGTCAGGGAAGAGTCCGTGGACTGTGAAGAGCTGATGGAAGAGATTAGGTGCGGATTTGAAGGTACCGTTGGGCGTTGACTACGCAATGCTCCGCGTCCACCATATGATCTGCGTTCTTAGGAGTCCCCCAAAGGAATGATCGACGAGTCTGTTCGTCCCATCCAGGGTCCCAGAGCATCATTGGACTGTTGTCGGTAGAGAGGATTTAGTTTGCAGGAATGGATAGCGTTTCCAGATCTCTCGGGTCTGTTTGCTGCAGATCTGGGTCTGTTTACTGAAGATTGGTTGCCATTGTGGATTGCGATAACTGATCTCCATACGGCTGCTATCCTATATGTACTCATGTAGGCTGTGTCCTGTGATGTGATCGACAGCTTGTTAGTGTACGGCTAGCACAATCCTGTCCTTAAATAGTCAATCACGTATCGATGGATCAGATCTCAATGGATCAAATCAGCATTCGAACAATGGGAGCAACGTCACGAAATTACCCGTGAGTTTGTGAAATACGAATGTGAACCGAAATTACAATATGATCCGAAATTCGGACAGATGTCGCCAAAAACGACTCCTGTCCGACAGCGAAATCTGTCCGAAATCCCCAATTCGGCTGTCGGACAGATGTCGCTGTCGGACAGATGTCGCCCAATCGGGTTACTGTTAGGGTTAGTATAATAAATATATTTGTTTGGTCAATTGTCGGGGGGGGGGGGGGGGGGGTCAATTTTCAAGTATTATATCACTTGCACCGTTTAGCTCCACGTGGTTTCTTAAGCTTAAATACTTAACTGTCCTGTCAAGATAAAGTAAATCACTATCACCTCTCATTCTTAATAAGTTAGTAAGCAAGCATCTGATCATTTTAAAACAGTCACCTCCCAATTTAGCAAGTTCTTACATCTATATTACAGTCTACACCCTTCAATAATGAGATAATATGTTTGGCCGGTAGAGGGTCCGCAGTAGTCCCATTACAGCATTACCTCATTACCTTAGCATTGCTGTACAGTGTACAACTACTATAAGAGTATAAGATATACATCCTTCACCAAAACTGGTTTGTCCGCTTTCTATTACTAATTTTCCGCTGAAAGTGCCACATCAGTGATCAATTAATATTGGTAAATAGCAATAATTTGAGTTATAGGTTGACCTCCCACTTAGAGCATATGTGGGAGGTCAACCTATAAATTATAGTACGAGCTATTTCCAATTCGTGAATACGAATTTCGATTAAGGTCCAACTTATTAAGTGTCACTTTAACGTGTGACAAATTTCCGATCAAATATCTCATAATCTGAAAATAACTGCATATTTAGAACTATTATATTAATTGTAATTGAAGATTCTTTCAGAATCACTTCATTCACTAAATCTTACAATGTGAACAATGAA